AGGGGAAGGTTAAAGAAGGATTGTATTAGCTAGTTCTTCCAAATAAATCATGTAGTGTCATCTCCTCTAGTAGTTCAAATTAATAGTCTTTCAATTCCTTAATTGATGTATAGCATAGGAGACTTGGACATCCATCCAGTCAGGTGGTGTCACTCAAAAACATGTAACCATAAGGCAAAAATCAATGAAACCATGTCTTCTTATGATGCTTGGCATTATGGAAAAGCTCATCTCTTACCCTTCTCCTTATCTACGTCTCATGTAAATGCCCTTTTAGATCTTATACATATAGATGTATGGGACAAGCTCCCATTCAATCAACATTAGGCTTCAAATATTACATAACCTTCCTGAATGACCTTAACAGATTTACCTAGATATATATCCTATGAGACACAAATCTGAAACACTAAACATCTTTGTTCAATTTAAAAAATTAGTTGAAAAGAACTTTGAAAGGAAGATAAAGACTCCACAGTCTGATTGGAGAGGTGAATATAGAAGCTTAACAAACCCTATGACATAATCTGGAATTGAGTTCAAACATTCCTATCCTCACACTTCAACCCAAAACCCCAGAATAGAACGAAAGCATAGATATATATAACAGAAATATGTTCAACTCTGTTAGCCCAAGCCAAAATACCTTTGAAATATTGGTGGGGATCTTTTCAAACAGCAACATACCTTATAAATAGCTTGCCTACTCCAACTCTCCACTGCATTCTCCATTCCAAGGCTTGCACAAAAATGAAATTGATTATAAGGCACTTAAAACCTTTGGGTGTGCCATATACCTGCTTAAGACATTATCAAAAACATAAATTCAATTTTCATTGGCTATAGTAAGTCTCATAAAGGCAATAAGTGCCATAGTTCAACAGGAAAATTGTATATTTCACATGTTGTCTTCAATTAGTCTGAGTTTCCATTTGAGTCTGAATTTCTCATCAAAGGCCAGTCAAGTCCAGTTGAATTTGAAACAATAATGTCCTAGTTTCAATTTCCTTCTAAAAAATAACTCAAGTCCTGATCCTACTAATATAACTTATCCAAACGCAACCCAAGCTTTGCATTCTCTGCCTTTTAGCTTAAGTGATGCAAATCAGTTTGATAATGACAACAATGGTAAAGATGATGAAAATGCACAAGAATCACCTAGTGAGGTGAATAAATAGTATGTGGAGATAGAAATAAGGTATCCACAAAACGTTGAACAACCTGAATCATATAGTGATGCTGATCACAACAGTCATTTGCAACTAGATAAAAATAACCATCAACAACCAGGTAGTAGTGAGCTAATGCAGAAGCACAAATCCAACAATCAGATACAGCATCCTATGGTTACTAGAGGAAAAGTATGAGTGTTTAAACCAAAGGCCTATTTAGGACAATCAGTTGAATATAATTCTAAATACATAGAACCCAAAAATGTTAGTGATGCCCTGATGAGTAAAAAGAATTAATGAAAGAATAATTTAATGCACTATTGAAGAACAAAACCAGGAAACTAGTACCTTCATCACCATCATACAACATAGTAGAAAACAAATGGGTTTCTAGACTGAAACACAGTTCAAATGGATTAGTTTAAAGGTTTAAGGCAAGACTGATGGTTAAAAGGTTTCTTCAAAACTCTGGAGTTGATTTTTATGAAAACTTCAGTCTAGTTATCAAGGCATCAGTAATACTTACATTTGCAGTCTCAAGAGGATGGGAAATCAGGCAGGTTGATATCAACAACGCCTTCTTAAATGATGAATTTGAGGCAGTTGTGTACATAAACCAACCTGGGGGATTCATAGACAGTTCCAAACCATCCCATGTGTACTAGTTAGAAAAGGCACTTTATAATCTAAAGCAGACAATTCATAACGATTTCTGTATTTTAATACATGAGATTTCGTCGTACAAATTTTTTGGTGTGAGCATGGTATAACAAGCCAAAATATACATTAATAAGTTGTAGATTCAAGCAATCAAGAGCTGATAATCATCATTCTATTTCAAGAATGAAAATTAGGTTATATTTGCACTCATCTATGTCGATAACATAGTCATAACAATGAATGACACAAAGTTGCTGCAAAATTTTATAGATGAGCTAAACAGAAAGTTTGCATTGAAAGATATGGGTTAGTTTCATCATTTCTTAGGAATTGACGTTTGTTGGCATGACTTAGGAATTCATCTTATACAAACAAGGTATATTACTGAGTTGCTTAAGAAATTTGAAATTCAAAATTTGAAGCCCTGTCCTACTTCCATTACTATCGATAGGACTATGTCAAAAACTGAGGGAGAAGCTATGAAAAATCCTTCAGTTAACAGAAGTGCTGTAGGAGCGCTGCAATATCTCACACATACCAGACTTGACATCACTCTTGCTATTAACAAACTAAGTCAATTTCTACAATCAACAATATCAACACATTGGCAAGCAGTAAAGAGAGTCTTAAGGTATCTAAAAGGAACAGTGGATCAAGGACTGTGGATTTAAAGATGTAACAGGTTGACATTAAGTTGATATTCAAATACAGATTGGGCTTCTTGTCCAATTGACAGGAGATCAACAACTGGATACTGCATCTATTTGGCGGATAATTTGATAGTATGGTCATAAAAAAGCAGCATGCTTGTTGCAAGACCA